ACCGCACGCCTGCACGCCTGTATGTGCCAACACGGGGCAGGGGCAGGGGCTGGGTCGTGACGGGTCTGCCCTTCTCTCTCTCGCCTGCCTGGGCCGGCACCTCTGCGCCACGGTGGGAGCCCCGGGCTAGCGCTGGTTCAAAGGGAGCCGGCAACCTGCGGCTGGAGATGACGCGCGAGTGCCGCCCGCAGGCCGTGCCCGACCTGCTCCAGACGGTGCCTGCAGAGCGCTCGCGCCCGAGGCCCCTCGCCCTGGCCCTCCCCCCCCCGTATCGGCCCAGTGACTGAACGCTGTAATTTATTCGCGCCTCTCCTCCTGGTAATTTATCCCTTGTTCTCTGCGCTGTCTCCTATTATTTAATTCTGCTGAGCGTTTTGCGATGCCGTGCATGCGAGCGATGCCGAGCACAATGAAATCACATCACATTGTTTGACTTGTCGGCTGTCCACGTTCCCAGCCCCAAATGCTGGGCTGGGGGTGTTGCGTGGGGCCCGGGCTGGGCAGCATCCTGGGGCCAGGGCAGAGCACCCGGGCATCGTGCTCCCCCAGGGGGCCGCAGCCCCTCGGCGCCGGGGCTGATGCCATCGATGGTGTGCGGGGCGCAGGACGGGGCAGCGTCTGCCTCCTCCCGCAAGCAGGGGTGAGGGCCCGGGGGATGATGCCCTGCTGGTCTGCCCATCTCCGGCCGGTCACTCCACAGAGCTCCCTGCTCCAGCCCTTGGCATTGCTGGGTCTGGCACCAGACAAGCCCAGGGCACTTCTGGTCTGTGAACACGTTGAGCTCGTGTTGTCTCTGGCTTGCGCGTGCAGTGCTCCTGCCCTGCCGGTGCCCTGAGCGGGGCGATGGCTCCCGGGGTGGGGTGCCTGGCTGGGGAAGGGCTTCAGCACTGTTCACTGCCAGCAGGGCTGGGCGCTGCAAGGGGCTCTGTCGGTCCTGGTAGAGGATGGTCTCTGGAAACGCCTCCACACGGGAGCATGGGCAGAAGCCAGGCCAGTGCCCTACAGCCATTCACACCCCTCTCTCGCCGTGTCCAGGTACGCCATCGACCGCAGCACCGACCTGGAGAGTATCTTTGACATCGACGCCAACACCGGTGCCATCATGACCGGCAAGGTGCTGGACCGCGAGACGGCCGGCTGGCACAACATCACGGTGCTGGCCATGGAAGCAGGTGAGGCGTGGCGTGGGGCGGGCAGTGGGCTGCCTTGCAGCTGGGGTGGGGACAACTTTGCCCCCACCCCACGGGCGTGGAAGTGACCGGGCAGGAGAAAGCTGGCTGCGGTGAGGCCTGCAAGAAGCCGGAGTCTGACATCTCCCCAGACAGCCTAAAAATACTCCTCCTGACTCATGCATTAATGAGGGAGCCGTGGTCGGGCGGTGCCTTTGATGAACACTAATCAAAACCCGTGTTGGCTGCGCAGCCGTGCCACCAGCCATCTCCGCGCTGCTCGTTTGCTGCCTTTGCACCTGACGAGATGCCTCTGAGGCTCCCGGGAGCCCGTGTTTACATCGTGCGCTTCCTCCTCCTTTCGCTTCCGTCCTGCCGCTGGATTCGGCACGCGGGTGGCGGGGACGCGGGCGCCTCCTTGGCTGGCCGGGCAGCGCTCGTCTCCGGAGTGGCAGGTGGCACCGCGGGGCCTGGGCGGCGGCT